TTGCTGCAGCTTCTGAGCAGCTACTGATCTGCGGCCTCCTTCTCATCAGGATCACAATCTGATCCCCATGTAGCCTTCATTCACCAGGGCTTATTATGCCAAGGAATGTCTCTCACTCTCTCCTTCTGAAGCAGGGATGTGGGGTGCAGGGTAAATTTGGAACAAATTTGGGCCCCCCTACACTTTTTTCTTTTTTCTATCGCTTCCATACTTGCCAAACTCTTCCTTACAATCCTTTTACTGCTAGCCATCACAAAACAAACAACAACACATAAACTCCTAAACCTTTTTCCCATGGAAAAGGGGAGAAGCTGTTGTTATACTGTATTGTACTGTATTGTACCATAAATGCTCCACGTGGTGACCCTGGTGACAATGGTGAGATTCTGGCACTCAAACAAGTCTTTGCTCCAAACTTCCAGACATCCCTGATAAAAAAATAACAGAAATATATATTTTTCTGTCGTTGTTTTCAGATGTCATATTTAGGAACTTGAAAGTTTCTTTTCACAGAAATAACAGTCTTGAAAAATTACAATATCTCTGCTGAGACCAAAGCTCAAGCTCCTTTTACAGGCTCGTTCCAGTGGGACTGAGTCTTCCTCTCTTTGCGCTCTGCCCAGAACAGCAGTTTAGGGGTTAAATAATCAGTCTCTGTACATTATCCTGTTTCCTGCTGTGCCGGTGGATGCAACCATGATGTCTTGCTAATTAGCCTCCTTTAAGGTCTTTCCAATAGGCCACACAGCATTGAGGACAGAGGCCAGCGGAGCTTTCCAAAGGAAAACCCTCTCATGCGCATTCATAGTTCAGGCCTGCCCTTTATAAATCCCTTGCATGCCCAAGCCTGATGCCTTCAGGCCTCAGGATTCAGTTACCTAGCAAAAGAATATGATATTTAGTCCTACGCGGGGATGAGTGAGGCTATTGTGTGTTTATCATTCAAAGGATAATGTCCATAAATGGGATACAAACTGAGCCGGGCCTCTTGAGGGCTTAAGGGTTGAATTGGCTCGTTTTAAGCTTTGAAATTATCATGGGTTGGGGTCCTTGTATAGGGTTATGGGCAGTAGGGTTTTTATTTTTTCTGGGGAAGACTTGAGTTCTGTTCAGATCTTTCAGATAACTTTTCAAATTCTAAAACATTTCGTGCATTTATAATGCAGAAGCGCAGAGTCTCAGTTTGGTGCATAGTCAACCCAGAAGATCACCTTTGGTCCCCTGGGCAACAGAAAGAATACAATGAAAAGATGTCTTATATATTCCTTGTTCTCACAAATGTCTCATTTTGGTATCTCCAGGGACCTTGTTTTTCTTTTTTGAAGCTGTCTAAATACAGAGCAGATTGTGTCCCACTTTTGACGTTGCATATGCATTTTTAAGTTAAGTGATTTTTAATTTGGAAAATATGCTGTGAAATGCCCTGAATGGGATACAATCTGAGCCGGGCCTCTTAAGGGCTCAAGGGTTAAATTGGCTCGTTGAAAGCTTTGAATTCATCATGGGTTGGGGTCCTTGTATAGGGTTATGGGCTGTAGGGTTTTTATAGGCATATTTTACTAAGTATGTACCCGTTTTAAAAAAAACAAAACATTGAAACACAGATACATTTGAAATATTTCCTGTAGTAAACGGGACACATCAGAGGCAAGTCTGTGCAGCATAATACTGGATTATTGCTCCCCTTGTCAGTTGAATGGAATTGAAACGGTTGAACTGCAATGATTTGTGCAGTCATTGCCTCTGAAATACTGAGCTCTGGCAGGCTTTTGCCTGTTTAAAGGTTGGTATAATGGAAATCCGCATAGAAATTAACAGTAGGATTAAAAAAACAACAACTGTGAGACCTTAAATGGAAAATAAGATAAAAAAAAACAGTGACTAAATAGAAATGTGGTCAAGATAAAATTATTGCAGGATTATGGAGGAAGTGAGGGGAACATTTTTAACCAACCAATTCAACCAGCCACCTTAGGTTGAACCTTTAGCTTCTTTTTTTTATTTTAAAAACAAGTCATTGCCTCTGAAATACTGAGCTCTGGCAGGCTTTTGCCTTATTTAAAGGTCGGTAAAATGGATCCACATAGAAATTAACAGTAGGATAAAAAAAAAACAACTGTGAGACCTTAAAATGGAAAATAAGATTAAAAAAACAGTGATTAAATAGAAACATGGTCAAGATATTATGGAGGAAGTGAGGGGAAATTTTTAACCAACCAATTCAACCAGCCACCTTAGGTTGAACCTTTAGCTTCTTTTTTTATTTAAAAAACAAGAAGAACATTATTGATAGGATGAACAAGATGAATTAGCAGGGCTCTGTTAATATCCAGCATGTTTGTTGTGGCTAAAGCTATCATAATGGATATCTACTCAATAGGGAGTTGGATTGTGTCTGCAAACAGTTAAGATGCCAGCCCATGGCCCTTTCCCGCAGGTCTCCCCCTCTCTATCTCTGCCCCTTTCCTGTCAAGCTACTGTCATTAAATCAGAATCAGAATCAGAATCAGAATTGGGTTTATTGCCAAGTAGGTTTACACATACAAGGAATTTGCTTTGGTGAAAGCACCGAGGCAGCCATTTTCGGCGCCAAGACATCTTCAGAACCAAAATGAAGGCCACTAGAGCCAAAGAAATCTTAAAAAAAAAAAAAAGATGAGATAATAGACTGTACAACAAAGGACTGTTAAAGCTCACAACACTGGTTGACAAGATAACAGATCCCCTAAATTCAGTTGGAGAGAAATATATATTTCTTTTTTTGTGACTGTGAAATATGAAAAAGTCAGAGAGAAAATTCTACTAGATAAATAAGAGAACCCTTAGCCAATCAGTCCATATAGCAAATGCAAGTTGTTTAAAACCCCCATATAACCCCTATATGCTCATTAATAAATTTTGACTGCTCGAACATTTGATCATTCTGACTTTTTATGGTGAGGGTAACAACTATTTGAAACAGTTTTAAGAAATCTACCTAATATATCATTAAACATTCAGATTAATGGAAGTAATCACAGTTTATGAGAGATGTACAGCTTTGTCTACAGATTCCTCCCTTTTTTTAATCAATATCTATTACTATACCTCCGGAAGGAAATTGTAATTTACTATTTGTTTTACACGGTTATTCAAATCAATCTTATTTACAGAAGCCTAACAATTCACACCAAAAGCAAGCATAAGGCGACACAGGCAAGGAAAAACTCCCTTTTAAGAGGCAGAAAACTTGAGCAGAACCATGGCTCAGGGTGGGTGGCCATCTGCCTCGACTGGTTGGGGTTGAGAGAGAAAGAAAGAGAGGGCAAGAGAAAGGGAGAGATAATGACAGAGAAAGCAGAGGGGGAGGTAGCCAATACAGTAAAGAGGTAAATAATGGTAATGTTGGAAAAATGAAAAAAATGTACAGATATTGCTAGTAATGTTAATGCTGACAGTAATAATAGCAATAGGACTAGGAACAGTTGTAATTTTAGCAGAGGGTGTTGAGTAGGAACATAAGGGCTGCAGGGGACTCCCTACAGATCCAGACTCCAAAGCCAGGAACACCTGCAGGAAGTGATAGCTTGGGACAGGACAGGGACAATAAAGCTTACGACTATGGGAAAGGGAAGAAGTCCAGTTAGTAGCATGCATTAATGGGTTACGGTTCCCCTCAGAGGGAGAGAGAGAAGAGTAGAGGGGAGCTTGGTGCATTATGGGAAATCCCCCAGCAGTTTAGCCCTATTAGCAGCATAATTAAGGTTGGTTCAAGACTCACCTTTTATAAAAAAGGAAAGTCTTCAGCCTACTCTTAAATGTAGAGTTGGTGTCTGCCTCCTGAAGCCAAACTGGAACCTAGTTCCAGAGGAGAGGACTCTGATAGAATAAAAAAAAAGGCCTCTCTGATCAAATGGTCATAAAGCCATACTTCTTTTTAAGGTGAATTACTTGTGCTAAAAATATTTGTAATTCTTTCACATGATCCGTACATCTTTGAGATTACACTGATCTGATCCCTTACAGAGAACACAAAACGCTTAGATGGGCTTAAACCCCTTCACTTTCCTTGATTTGCAGGCCTGGCCTCAGCTAGCGTTTGTCACAGCGGCCTCAGACACCGGCCTGTTGTTCTGAGCCCCAGCAGCGACACTGTTTGTCCCACTCTAAAAGAGAAAAAAAAAGAGCTGGGGATACTGGTCATCATGATCCTTCTTTCAATGCCTGGTTGTCCAAGGTTGGTGGTCAGCTCAAAATGCGGCTGCCTGCGTTTACTCTGTGTGCGTTTGTGTGTACTTGTGTGTGTGCTTTAAGGGGCTCTGACAAAGAAACAAGCATCCTACTAAAGTCCTCTAAAACATGTGTTTTAGATAAGTAGGATGAAATGAAAACAACCTGCCACACTGGCTATTATGTGTGTGGTCTGCTGTTTCCACATTGTCAGAGCAGCATGTTTAAGCTGAGATCATTGACTCATTTGCAGGTTCTCATTGATGACGGTCACTCCTCACACACACCAAGAGAATGTATCCAAGGGTATTTGATAACAAAGTGCATTTAGTGTTTTTGTAAGTGGCGTTGACTCGCTGACTTTAATGGAGAACTGCATGCCTGAGGTGCCTCGTCCTCTTAAGCTCACTGTCATATTTTCTAATTTGTTTTGTTTTTTCATACTTAAATTGCTCCAGCTATGGCTTAAATGAGGCCAACGGAAGCCTTCGACGTGTTGTTATCAGGACTGGGTGATAACGTCATAGCCGTTCAATATGTTTTTTATATTGGAGCTGTCAGGTCAAAAGGTTTATTGAAGGGTGGTGCATGTACAACACATTTCCAGGGCTTGTCAGAAGCACATGACTGTTCATAAAGAAGCCATCAAAACCAGTCCTTGGTTTCTTACTTAAGTTGGACTGGACTTGAAAACTGCCTTTTCCTGGATTATAGTTCTTTTTTTTTTGTACTATCTGGACTAAAAGTTTAATAGATTTCACCTAACCGGTCCATCTCTTTCGATTTCCTAGATCATCAGGACTGTCTACATCAGGCAGTCCACGAGCGGCTGGGTGAGCTCCTGCGAGTTCTGAAGGCCATCATTGACAAACACCAAAGCCTGAACTCTGTGGACATCCTCAGCATGGCCGGAACCCTTATCGCCAGGGTCAAAGGTGAGCCGAGTGGGACCAGAAGCACATAACACATTCCCACCTTTTCAGCCCCTTGCCTCTTCAGACAGTGTTTCACTGGAATTTTTCTTTTTAAAGCCTCTTTTTTTTTTTTTTTTGATTTGATTTTTTTGTATAATTGGGAGTGCAATAGTGTGCATTTCAACCCCCTACAGAGAGCCTGAAAATCATATTTGTTATTCAGAAGCATGATACTTTGTCCTCCCAGTCCAGAGAGAAACGCAAAGGCATCTCTTTAATCTCTTTTTTTAGTATATTGATCTGACATGCAGAGTCTACCTCTGTTGACAGGGAGCTGTTTTCTGTCAGTAAGGGGCATTTACATGATGGAGGAGGATGCCATGCATATCAGCATTGCGCCATTTTACTAAAACTAAACCCTTTTGGATGTTTGCGCCAATTGCCATTTTCTATGCACATTTTTTTGAGAAGAAAGGCCTTTGTTTGTCAGACAATCACAGTAGTTGTGTCTTCTACCACTAGGGGGCCAGGATTGCTCACTTGTTGGTGATAACCTAACCCCCCCCACCTCTGTTATCAGCTGATCACTCCCCCTACTGCCTCTCAACTCCCAAGCCTGTTGACATAACACTACAATGAAGTTGTTAAATTAATTCGGAATGATGCGCGATCTGTGCTTCGCTTCTTTCTAGTCATGACTTTACTCTAAGAGTTGAAAGACAGTTTTCAGCCCAAGCGTGTAAAAATGCATGTGGTTTTAGGGACCTCATCCTGTGAATTTGAAAGATTTTTTTGAATTTGTAATTACATGTTTTTTTTCTACTGGAACTTTGTACACAAATGCTGGGCAGGAGTTTGTTGCCGATAAGTGCATGGTGAGTGTTGTGCTTTTCCAGCGAAACAATGCCATTTTTTCCCCATGATGTAACTTCCACATTTGGACCGTAGGTTGGGGGGCCTGAGAAAGTCGTTGCATTGTATTCCAGCGAGTCTCAGGATGTCCTGTTGGAAGGGTGAGGGGGAGGGGGGGGTTGTTGGTGGTTAGGGTTAGGGGCTGGACAGAGGAGGAGATGCAGCAGCTCTAGAGCTGTACAATTTGATTGGTGGTAGGTACAGTAGCTGCTTTGGGGTTAGCAAGAGTCTTCCTGTGGACGAAGGGACCTCTTTTTTTTTTTTTGGTTCAGCCTTTAGGCTCAACCTTAAATATTTCCCGATCTCCATTTAAAGAAGAATACTTTCAAATCGGATCTATTGCGTTCTGAACTTTTCCCGAAATAGATGGAACTTTGCTTGCATTTTGTTAAAGGTAAAACACGAAGGTGGTGATGGCAAGCCTTTTTACGGTTTAACAGTACAAGAAAGGCATTAAGGTAGGTCATTGGTATTTTTGGTACGTGCCATAGCTCCTTGTATTTTGACGAGCTTATTCTTTGGGATGTGGCACTTTTGGTTTCATTCAAATCTCAAACTGATTCTGTTTTGGAAGTTGTGACAAAAATGTTGTCGTTTCTCTAATTTGAGGCATAGGTTAAGCTCAGCAGTAATAAGTCAGAGTCTTTGAACTCCAGAGATCCTCGTTGTGCCAAATGAAAGGAAAACCTGGGGAAACATGATATCACCGATTCGTCCCTGCTTGTTTGCTCTCTTATTTGTGCATTTCATCTGTAGTTTATTTTCCTTCTGCTCAGTCAGGACAGGAAGTTTATTGTGAAGACTGATTGCAGCCATATTTACAGTGGTGTGTCTTTTTTTGCTTTTTGTTTTTTTTTCCTACCCCAAATTCTGTTCTCAGTCACCACTTTGTTTAGACTTACAGCAGGAAACTACTGCCTGGCCAGATTACAGCCAAATATACACACTTGCGGTATTTTGCTTATCTTTACTGATTTACCAGTTTTTTTTGGGATGCCTCAGGGGGAGTTTTTGATTATTATTTTTTTCTCTGCAAGCAAACACTCAAGAGTTGACTTTCATGGACTCAACATCCCGAGTAACGATGATGAATCGTACCTAAAACAAAGGACATACGCATTAAGATTGTTCCTGTCCCGTACCGAAGCTTGACTCTGTGATTTTCATCACCATTTCACAGGGGTGAACTTTAAGGAGGTAAACGAGGAGAATAGACAGAAGCTTTTTGGAGAGATCTACACGGCGATCGACACATTGGCATTCACGTTTGGCAATGTGTAAGTATGATGTCATTGTTATGGTTAAACTGCTTTTCACACTGCTCCTGTTCCCGAGCAGTTCTGTTAACTGGAACAAATTGCAAATGGATCTGCTGTTGGTTTTTTGTTTTGGAGCACAAAAATAATGCTATCAGCTCATATTTGTGTTGCACATGGATTTAAGCCTCAAAGTTATTTTTAAACTGTGATACATAACTTTAACCATTTACTTAACAAATGCTTCCAAATTATGAGAAAGTTTCTGAACTTAATTCATGCTTAAGACTCCAGAGGAATTGCTTAAAGGCACTAAAAGCCAGGTTATTACTTGTCTTCTCACTGATCTGTCCGTTTTCTGCTAAAAAGATAAACATCTTGGCACTTTTCTATGGCTAAAATCCAACTCAAGCTAAGCTTTAAGCACATTTCTCAATGTTTTCTATTAGGTTTTAATTTAAACTGTCCATTTTCCTCCAGAGTTTCCGATTTCCTTATGGGAGATGTAGAGAATGGATCGGTGTTGGGGCTTCCCCTGACTAAAAGAAGCAGGGTAAGCTTGAGATTTACAGATTAGGTTTGTATTTTTGTCTCAATCAGTCAGTCACAGACTCATTGACCTTTCGGGACTCTGTTTAATGGAAAAAATTTAAGTTTGAAAAGTGCAAAGGTCAGTGGGGCTGAGAGCCTGCAGGCTGACGCATGCACCGGAACTGCCACCCTAAGAGATTAATTGATGTCATGTATTGATTGCTGTTTTCCTGCTGAGACTTTTACTGTATAGCTGCTGGGTGGAGGAAGTCTAGGTTCTGATGAGAATTGTTTCGAGTATGTCAGCAGGACCTTTTCATCTTAGTGTAGGAAACTCTCCATACCCAGCCTCCTTTGTAGATTTTTTTTCCTTATGCCTTTTTTTCCCCCCCAGTCTTTTGAGAACCTCACTGTGGAATCTGGAGGATCCGGTCCGGAGAAAGATGATCCGCCAGGTAAGACAGACTGAACACACAGCAACTGTACTCCGCCTTTGCTGCTGTGTGAACGTCTCAGGAGGAAAAATGATCCCCCACTGATTTAGTTTGGAAAATAAAAAGCTCGCACATAAATAACCTTTTTGGGAGCTTGTCAGCCAGTCATCGCTCTATTAATCTGGACTGGGTTATGTGAGGCAATTACCTTAACCGCATATTAATACATACATTCTGTTGGCTTTAGCCCACATGTCCATCACCCAAGGTCAGCATGAGCTTTTCCCGCTGACTCATGGCCACAGATGTGAGCGGGTCAACACATACGTGTGCATGTGGGCCGGTTACCAATGATCATATTTGAAAAACAAGATATTAATTGATACAAACCCCCTGCGGGATTTCTGTGGTCATCACAGGGCCGTCACTGCCGGTCCGGCCCGAAGAGGTTGACAGGACGCTTCAGCGGCAGGACAATGGAGTGGAGTCAGCACTGCTCTATGCCAAGGCATGGTCTAAGTACACCAAGGAGCTGCTGGCATGGGTGGAGAAGCGGCTTGGTATGGGTGAGTAAGGGTCACTGAAGGCGTATACAAAGCAGCTTTACAGCAGGCATCGGGGTAGTCAGGGTTAATCAGGCTACCCATTTTTTTTCATGTTCTACAAACATGTCAGATGGCTCATCTGTTTGACACATCGTTTTATGCTTTTTCTTTCTTTAATTTACCTGTTTATGTGTTGTCATCAGCCTCATCTTTGACAATCTCATTTCAGATATCGAGTGCGCAAAGAGTTATGCCAAAATGGCTGAAACTGCCAAGACGCTTGCAAGTCAGCAGGTGAGCAGTTCATTTCACCTAAACCATCTATGTTGTTGATTTTATGTTTATTAAAGCGTCCATTTTAAGCCTTTGTCAATCTCGCCTTAAGGAGTTCATGCCATTCCGTGAGATCTACACAACAGCATTCAGGAATGACATTGAATACAGTCAGCTGGTACTTCACACTGCTGCTGTACTCCAGAGCAACAAATTTGTTCAGGTAATCGATTAAAAGCAGGACTCTTGTGTGTGTGTCAAAACAAGAAGTCTGAACGGCCATATGTTTTTCTCCAGCCTCTCCAGGCTCGAAAGAATGAGCTGGACAAACTACGAAAAGAGGTTAAGGAGCAGTGGCAGAGAGTTCAAAAGAAAATGGTGAGTCCTGCAGTTTTTCAGCTGTTTATAAATAGATTATACAGAACATAAAAAGTGTGGGGGCCACTGCTCTAAAAGCCCTGTCCGATCAAGACTTACAGTGGGTAGATGGAACCACTAGCAGCTTTTTACAGACTTGCCTCAGACTGTGTGATTGGTTTGTAGATCTAAAAGGGCAACGTGTTGGCTGGGGGCTTTGGATGGGAAAGTTCTCTCTGACCATAAGAGCTACAAAGTCCTAGACAGGAGTTGCATTTTACTATGTTTTGTGTTTCTTGTTTGACCCACGAACTATTTTGACTCCAGCACGAAGCAGACAGCGCTCTGAAGAAGGCTCGGATGCTGCAGGCCCAGCGGCAAGAGGAGTATGAGAAGGCCAAGGTGAGCACCAGTCGCCTGGAAGAGGAGCAGATTGGAGGAGGAGGCGGAGCAGCAGCAGTCAAACAGCTGGAGAAGAGGCGCAGGCTGGAGGAAGAGGCTCTGCAAAAGGTAGGGCATCCCCTTCCTCTCAGACTAAATGTTTTGTTTCAGCATCCTCACACATTTGACAACTCGAATGTTGTTCAAGTCTCCCCTCTAAGGATTGTAAAGACCTTTCATTCTTCCTATGGTAGGCCGAGGAGGCCAAGGAGCACACCAAAGCCTGTCAGGTCGATTTCGGTGTGAAGAGGGTTGACCTGGCCAACTCCAAGAGCGAGATAATCACTCAGATCCGAGAGATGGTCTCCCAGTGCGACCTTACCCTCAAAGCTGTGAGTGCATTCAGGTTTATACTGTAAGGCCTGACAAACAATGGTCGTGTGCTAAGGCTGACTGATTGTTTTGATCCCTTTTTAGATGACCGTCAACTGGTTCCAGCTGCAGCAGACCCAAGTCGTGTTTCTCCCCGTCAACCACCAGAGTCTATGCGAAAATGCCAAGCTGTATGAGCCAGGCCAGCGCTACATCGACTTCGTCAGGAGTTTGCCGACCAACGCCCCCCCATTTGAGTCCCACTCATTGGATTCACCTGTCGCCCAGAACACAGGGTGAGAAGTCCAAACTGAGTCAGATTAAAGTGGCTTGACAGATGCTCCAATCCTCTGATAATCTTCAACTAAGATGAAATTTGATGATTTCCATTTAAGTGGAAGTGCCTAGATTTATGGGTTTTTTGTATTTATGTGACTATTGCTGTATGTATTGCAATGCTGACAGGTGTATCTCTCGTCAGCAGTTAAAGACTCTTGCTCAAACCAAGGTTTTTGGTCATTTCAACTAGCAAGGGTAAAATTCGAGCTGCTCATTCTGTCAGTAGGTGACTGTCAGTAGGTGACTGACAGAATGAGGGAGGTTGTTTTTGAAAAGTTTCAAACAATTGGGACAGCCTGGGGCTTCCTGCGGAAACCACAGTGGTCAGCAGCTGGCTCACCACTGCTTTCCTAAACCTTTCTAATTTTCAGGACCTTGCACACCGGTCTTTCTAATTCGTAACAGTAACTTCTTTGGTTAATTGTTTTAAAAAAAAATTTTTTTAAAGGCTTTTGTTGACATAAGTTTGTGGTAACACACGCATACCAGACAGATGGGAATAAGAGAGTGCTTTGTTCTCACTCAGTCCCCCTCCACACACACAACACCACCACCCGCTCCCTTCTGACTCTGATCCCACTGATCAAAAGAATTCAGCTTGGGGAGAGAGGAAGTGAAACTTGGGCGCACGTACACACCTTCGCTCACGTGCGCCCACAATGCTGCTCCCCGAACAAGTAAATATAGACCACTGACCTACTTTTTGGCCGATTACCTGACACCTCGGTCAGCAATAGAGAGAAATGTCTTTTAGATACACTGAATACATACTCCCGAGTGTGGGTCACTTTATCATCTTCAAATTAACTAGTGTCTTTGATATGGGGGGGGTATCTCATGAGGATCTCATTTAGGGATCCAAACTCTGTTGATGGAATTAAAATGCACTGGATTACACCTTCTGAGACACCAAAATTCTGCTAAATTGCTTGTTTTGAATCACTGATGACAGGTTAAAAGGATCTTCTGTGGTATTATTGCAGGCTTTTAATGTTTCCAATGTATATCAGGACTGAGAGCATTTCTCCTGTTTTTTATTTTTTTCGTGCCTTATGTCTGGTTCCATGGCTAAAGAGTGCATAGAGTTGGGTTTAACTTGAACTTAAAATGGACCTCTAATGTAGTCCTCTGTCTGCCTGAATTTGTATATGTCCATATATATAAAAGCCAGATGTTTGAGGAATATGATTGAGTAGCTGTTTTCAGATACTCAGTATCAACAAACATCTTGTTTTCTGGACTCCTGTGTCTTAGGGCTCTTTTCAACAAGCGCTCCTTTAGCGGCAGCCACTCGTCCCACAGTATCGTGCTACACGCATCTGTGACCTCCAACATCCTGGTTACAAATGAGGTGGACACTCAGTCCAGCCCCCAACATGCCAAGGTTGCAGAAAGACGCTCTAACGGCAGCTACGATATCCAAGGTGAATGCAGACCTGTGTGTCATGAAGTCTTTAACACAATGTTCTGGTTGGATGTCCGTATCGCCTTAGAGCAAATGTCATCTCTAGGCACTTTAAAGATTTAATCCACTGTAATACAACCACGATCCATTTAATTCCTTCTCACTAAATACAAAATTAGTCCAATTTACACAGAGGCAATACAAAAAATTAGGACGTTTTCAAGCTCAAGAACACAACAGATTTCCCAGAATCTACACTTTGATTAAATCACCCATCCTGAGCATGCACAAGGTGTCTGTAGACAGCTAGTTTAACAGGAGGAAACCCTCTAGCGGAGCAGACTCCAGGAAGGTGGCCATCCAAGTTTACCAGCTGGGGTTTGAGAAGACAGGAAATGGGGAGGCAAAAAACGCGTAGCTGCAACTGAAAATACCTGAAGAGAGGGAGAAACTCAAGTTAGTAAGAACAGCATTGTCACATGTTCATGAGGAAAAAGGAAGGGTGACAAGCGCATCATGAAGGCCCCCCAATCAGCGTTGCCCTGTAGCGGTATAACTATAGGATATTTCAGGGGCACCTGATCCATCCCCAACTGTAAGCTTTGTCAAAATGGAAAGTTTCAGGCCAAATCTTAAATGTAAAGAGGATGTCTGGGATCAGAGACGGGCCTGATAACCGATGGCCATGCCTCCCATTCTATTTTTAAAAATTCTTAGAAACCAAAAGTACTCAATTACACAAGTGCTCTGCTGTAAAAAAATATAACGATGAGGTCTTTAGATAAGATGGAGCTTGGTCCGTCTAAGGAAATGCCTTATAGAGTGACTATGTAACTAGACAGTTCCTGTATGATGTGCTCAGGTCCATAGACTACAACTTAGGGTCTTGGAAAAAAAAAAAGAATTTAGAAACAGAAAATTCTAAGATTTGAGGATCATCTGTTCTGTCTACACATTCAAAGCAGTTGCCACGACGTTTGTATTTTATTTTTATTATTTGTTATTATTTGTTATTATTTGTTATTTGTTTATTATTTATTATTTTCTTCTTCTTGTTCTTTGCAGCACTTCGCATTCAGGGCCCTTTTCGACCCTGGGGCTCGACCAATCAGGGCGGAGGACTCAGTGACTCAGAAAGCGCTGGAGGGAGCAGCGAATCCCGCTCCATGGACTCCCCCACTGCAAGCCCAGGTAAGACCCTTCCTGGTCTCTTTTTAATCTCAAACCTTGAACTTCCAAGGCTCTAAATCCCCTCACCTTTAATCTTTTCTCCAACACGAAAGCCACTCTGTCAGCTTCTACCCATTAATCGTGTACCAGTCTTTATCTGAAGATCTGTAAAGCACAAACAGAGCGCACAGTTTATCGCCATGCGGGGCACGTGAGGATCGCCACGCTTTGTTGGCATATAATTTGAAAATGGAGGAGCTAAGCAGCTGCTGGCAGCAGAACCTGCAATTTACACAAACACATAAAAGTTGAGCTGGCTGAGGTTTGTGTTTCACCCTTTTGCCATGCAACAGTCAACAAGGTGTGTTCACAGTATTGTGGATTGTGATTGTGGATCATGGAATGTGAGCATTTTTCATTTCTTTTTTTAAGCTTTGTTCACCGTATTGTCCACCAGTTTTTGCTTAGGACTTTAGGTTTTTTAATCTGGGGCTATATATTTTAGAAAAACAGACTTTGAGTCAGAACATAAAAAGTCTTCTTTAAATATTTTGTAATGTAGAATGGCAATGAAGTTGCATCCAGTTAAACATTAAGGTTAGGGCTTTCCTTTGCTGGTTGAACATGGGAGATATATTTGTGCATTAAGCCCTTAATGCCCGAATTAGCATTCATTCACATATGAAAGAAATATTTTTTGCATATGCTTTAAAACCAATAAGTCCCATGAACAAAACAGGATTTGCATCAGATACCCAGGAACATACTGAACATGCATCAACCAACTCTCGGGGGATAGCATATTGCCATTCAAAAAGCTTCAACCCCCATTCACCAACACCTAGAGTGTGAACGATGTGGAGGTTTATCCCTGATAACGCCCCCCTATTGGAAGATCATCAGAAAGTTAGAATTATTACATTGAGCTTAAAGTCCATCAGTGTTAAATCATTTTAGGTGGAAATCACAAACAATCGCCAACCCTAACTGCCTTGTAATTTGTAGGGAGCAGAAAAGCAACCACACCTTTCCCACAGGCTACAATAAGTCCACCAGGTCCCACCAGTGGGCTTTTTTCTCAGTCCTGGGATGAAGACGGGGAAAGCAGAAATGACAAGAAGGGATTTGATATGACTGTGAACTTTTGTGTTCTGCCTCATTGTTCAGGGGATTTCAAAAGGAGGTTACCCAGGACGCCCTCCACCGGCACCATGTCGTCAGCCGATGACTTGGATGACAGGGAACCTCCCTCACCCTCTGATAACGGCGAGTCAGGCGGGATTTTTTTTCTTCCATTAACCGATTTAAAAAAACAAACACATTTTTTCAGCCTCAAATGTATCGATAGAGTCGTAACTTTAAGCCTGTATGTGAAATGCAACAAAAAAATAATGGCTTCTGTTAAAACTTCTGTAGGTTTGAATGAGATGATGATAGAGATAGCCAGCTCCCCAGGACCCTTTCGAAACACTCCGCTGTCCAAAGCAGCTCAGACTCACAAGCTAAGGAAGCTTCGGGCGCCCTCAAAGTGCAGAGAGTGCGACAGCCTGGTGGTGTTTCATGGAGCAGAGTGTGAGGAGGTAACCTCAAGATTCCTTTCCCTTATTTGTTGATATTAATTATGCAAACACCATTCAAGGGTCAACCCACTTTTTTTTCTTGGACCTTTTGCCATTGTTACCCCACAGCTTCTGGAGTGTTGGTAGTTCAGGATTTGCCAAGGTTTCACAGAAGCATCTTTGTGGCATTATTGAACAGAGAAAAGTGCAGTGAAAAGCCACTTCACCCCTCATCGACAGGTTTGAATTGAGGAATAGAAGACACAAGTTGCAGCTGGCTGCCGTATCTTCTCAGACCAAACTCGCCAACTGCTTGCAGTTGGGGAGGGGGAGAGGAAACCAAAGACCCTTGTTTGTCTCCTGAAGGAGTCACCTCCTTTGTCCATCCACAGTTGACTTAATACCAAGTCTCTGTCCATATTTTAAAGACAAATTAAACAGAACAGTAACAAATGGGCCAAAGGGAATGGGTGTGTTATGCAACAGTCATCTTACTGCAGTGTAAGGTGCTAAGTTTTTATCATTGACCTTTTTTTAACTTAAAGTTCCCATGAAACTGCAAGCAGCTATTTTTATAGCAGCTATTTATAGCAGATTTACACGTTTCCTGTTTTTTTTTTTTAAAGTTTTATTTTCTCAGCTACTTGGCTTGAAATATATCCAGGGTTTAGTTGTAGGTCTTTTTTAAACCTGTCCTTCCAAATTCTATCTTTTCCTTTTTTTATATTTTATCCATTCTTTCCTTTTATCTTATACTTTCCTTTTCATCGTAATCTTTTCTTTACTTTTTATTTTTAATTCCTTGTATTGCATTCTATCTTTCCCCTTTTTTATTATATTCTATTCTGTCTCTCTTTTTTATTCTTACTTTTCTTTTTTCTCATATTCTCTCCTTTCCTATTCTTTATTCAATCATAAAATTTCCTTCCATGCCCCTTTTTTATTATACTGTATGCATCCTATCCTATCTTATCCATTATTTTATTTAACTCATCCTTTCCTTTTTGTTTTTATCCTGTCAATTCCTTTCCTTTATTTTATCCTCCTCTATCGTTTCCCCTTTTTTTTTATCCTGTTTTAGACTATAAGGTAACCCCTGGCTAGATTTGAAGAAGCTAAAACTGTTATACACTCTTTTGAAATCTGTGGTGTACGTGTTTGCAGTGTTCGCTAGCATGTCACAAGAAGTGTCTGGAAACCCTCGCCATCCAGTGTGGCCACAAGAAGCTCCAAGGGAGGCTCCACCTGTTCGGCATTGACTTCACACAGGCAGCAAAGAACAGCCAAGACGGCATCCCCTTCATTATCAGGAAGTGTACATCAGAAATTGAGAACAGAGCGCTCAACATCAAGGTAATTCGATGTGATCCTTTGTTTTATATGTAATATGTAACACATCATGCTGACAGAATTTGTCACAAAATGTCAGAATACATGGAAAAATGGTACCTAGCACATCATTGCTTTCACGGCTCTCATAAATTATATTCAAATTCACTAATTTCTGTCAAAATAACTGATCTTGCCATTGCTAAATTTTTATGATTCGCTCATTAACTTATGATTGAATGTCAGTATTTGATTTTTAAGATTCAGAATTTTCAGGTTTAAGCCTCACATTTAGAAAGACTGGAAGAATCTGTGATCATTGTTGGTATATCAGGAGATCATATTCACCTTTGAAAATTCAGTCCTGTTAAATTAAAAAATCCCCACTTTCTCCACTTTGAAATTTCCCTTGAATTTCTGACACTGAAAGCATTTTGTGTGTTTTTTTTTTTTTAAGGGAATCTACCGTGTCAATGGTGCCAAATCCCGAGTGGAGAAGCTGTGTCAGGCGTTCGAAAACGGCAAGGACCTCGTGGAGCTGTCTGAGCTGTACCCCCACGACATCAGCAACGTGCTCAAACTCTACCTGCGACAGGTGGGCCGCTTCTCAGAATCCACCAGTTCTATTCTTTGCTTAGCTTTGGCTCACAATCTCAATACACAAAGCTATCTTGGTTTTGTTTGTTTACTATCAACTTCCTTGTTTTGTTTGTTTATACAGACCTTTTTTTTTTGTCCCTTCTTTTTCTACTCTCTTTTGTCCTCTCTCTCTCTCTCTCTCAACTCTCCAGCTTCCTGAGCCGCTCATCCTTTTCCGTTATTATAACGACTTCATCGGTTTGGCCAAGGAGTGCCAGAGCATCATCGTGGAGGAACTAGAGGCTCTGAGACTGGGCCCCGGTCCTGTGCCCCCGGCCCAGGTCAGCGTGGAGCTCAACCGGGTGCTGTTCAAAATCAAAGATCTGCTAAGGCAGCTTCCTCCAGCACATTTCAAGACACTGCAATTCTTAATGGAGCATCTACACAGGTAGGCAGGGCAGCAGGGCTCACTCAGTATTCAAAGCCCAGCCTTAATATATAAAAAATGGCTTAGTCTTATAGGCTTAGTCTTAGTCATATTAAAAAAGCTAATAGCCTTTGAAGTTATATATTTTATTCCTTTAATAAGGGTGACCGAGTGTTCAGAAGAAAACAAGATGACAGCCAGCAACCTGGGGATCATCTTTGGCCCCACACTTATCAAGCCGAGGCAGGCAGACACCGAAGTTTCCCTCTCCTCTCTGGTGGATTACCCCTACCAGGCCCTGGTTGTGGAGCTCCTTATCAGACACTACGAGATGGTCTTTGATACCCCACTCAGTTCCCCGAGGGGCACCTCCCCCACAGAGGCTGATGCTCATCCACGCCCTGATGGCTGGCTCAGCCACCGTGAGAAGGAGCAGCAGCTAAGCAGGCACTCCAAGTCTCTGGGAGACATCAAAGAGGTAATCAGTCATTGGTTTGCACCCAGAGTATTAAGGGCACATCATATTAAGGAGATTTTTTCAAATATTTAGTGTTAGCAGGATAGGGTTCTGTTTATTCTCTGATAGAAAATGCTGTATTAAAGCTGATAGTGTCTCTCTTCTTACAGCAGAGCTCCAAAGTGTTTAAGAGACATTCCTCCATAATTCCTTCTTCACATTTATTGGCTGAAGTTCAGGAGATGATGCCAAGCCTTGATGGAGTTGATTTTGAACTTGGTCAGTATTTTTACTAGTTAGTTGACTCACCATTTGGCCTAAATAAGAGCTTGATGTTGAGTTGTAATGTCTTTTTGGACATCTTTTTTTTTTCTTTTTAAAGCTGATGAAACGGACTCTGAGACCCTCAATGGGGTGTTGTCGTCCGGCATTTCCCATGCCCCAAAGCCTGGGGAAAGAGGCCTTAGCCGTTCCCACCACGTCACAGTCACCCGGGTTCAGCTTCGGCACCCTCGCAGCAAACTCTCTTCCAGGCCGGCAAGTGTGCCGGCCGAGCGGCTCTGCAGCCAGGAACATGTGGACCAGAGTAACGGCCCGAGCAGCACCGAGCAGGATGACAAGAATGGAGGCAGTTGCGACCAGTCCATAGAAGAAATGGAAGAAACCGAGAACCCAAAGCTGCGGGTCGGCACACGCTTTCAGAGCACATTTATCGACACACAGACTCTACGCAGAACATGGGACAAACAGTACAAGCACAACGCCTCTTCCAGGGCCAGCAGACTTGTGGCCAGCTCGCCTTCAGAGGATGCCGACAGCTTATCTGCTTCTGTGCCATCAAACCTGTACCTTGCAAGTGCAATGAGTGGCGTTGGCACCCTGTACCCCAACAGACCATACACGGTTGCAGTGCGACCATGCAGGACTTTAAGAAGGGAGGACAATGTGATAACGTACTGCACATCTGCCACAGCTTTCAGGGCTCCCAGGACTCTCCAGCCTCCCCCCGGAACCTTCTACAAACCCCCGATAGGGAACAAAACAAAAGAGCTGCAGAACTGTGCATCAGCTAACAGTGCAGAGGAGGAAGAGGAGGACAATGACGAGGAAGATGAGGACGAGGACGAGGAACTGGGGATTGAGATAGAGGTATCTGTAGACGAGCCTCTTGAGGACATCGATGCCGACCAGGCGACCATATCTCATTCTCCAATCTCTAGTCCTGAGGAACTTGGCCAAAACCAGTCCAAACCAGTGTACCAGAGACTAAGACCCAGGCGCCTTCAGGAGGTAGAACACAGAGAGGCTCATTTTGTTTGAGCTGCCAAAATAACGATCGCCGACGGGTCCGCTATTAGAAACCTCAGCTGAGCATAAACATGCGCCATGTATCAAAACAATGAAAGCATGTTATACATGGCCACATGCATGTTTTACTGGTGATTTGTCCCCACAAGGCAAACAGGATGCAGTTACCACTGTGCATTTCCCACAGGATTCAGATTTGGTTGCCATTCATGTGCTTTTGTGCACTCAGTGCCTTCTGAAAATATTTGTCTTTTCAAACAGTGCAATTTTCTATTTTGTTTAATCAGTTTTGTACAAAGTTCTTACCTGCTCACTGTCAGTATATGTTTCTATACCAAAAAACAAACAAACAAATGGACAATGTTGGATTCTACATACACTGTAGCCACGGCATTGAGAAGAGTAGTGTGCACTTACTCAAGCTTGTACTTACTGTGATCAACTATGTTTTACACTGTTACATATTGATTTTAAAGAATTATTTGCTAATAACGTCTTTGTAAAGCGCTACAATGAACTTATGTTACATGTTGTGTCCAATGCGTGTCGCTGGCACTGGCTTGTGTTAAAAAAGATATGTTGCAAAGGGTTGTCATCCAGTTGTTTTCATAAAAATTTTACAAAGCTGAAAGTGATTTTCTTTATTTTTATTTTTAATCTGACACAAAATTTCAAGCAGTTTAATTATAACATTTGAAATATCTTTAATAGCCAAAGCTGTTTTCTTTCTTGTGTTTTTGGAGGTTAAAACCCCTTACAGGTTCTTTGAAAGTCATGTAAGGTGCACCACATATTTAAATGGTATCCGTTTTTCAGGTCGATGTACATGTTGGAGAGAACGCTGAAAGATGTAAGTGTAAGAAAGAAAAAAGAAACAGGTACATGAAAACAAACACCCTTTGGTAACTTATTAAAATGTATCTGACAACTTCCAACAAGGATTCTGATTTTTTTTTCTTTTCCCGTACTGATGTCTGCTGTTCTCAAACAGTTTTTAAATCTAATATTGTACATTGACGTCAAATGTACTTCTTTGCATTCTTGAAGTGACAGTGTTTGAGAGACTACAAAGAGGGGACTTCTGGTTACACATAAAACATGGCATCTTTACAACAAAGGAGTTGTGGAGTTGAACCTTTTCAGCATGAAAAGTCTGCATGAAAGTGATGGATTTCTGACAAACACAATGATGACTTTCGTGCTCTTTTTCCACATATTACAGTTGGAATGATTATGTGTTATCTAACAGGAGTGGCAATACAGAAGTGTAAGGATTATACAGTCGACCGAGGGCCAGGTGGCTGAGGTCATGGGGGCCTCAGCAAATGGAGGAGAGTCCTTAGCCGTCTCCCTGCACTTGGAAAAGGAGATTAAATCAATCTGCTTAACTATTCACGAGGTCTGGGAAAGGAGCTGTGTTGGCAACGACAGGGAACACTGAAGGATATGTGCCATTATTCTTTTAAAAATTAGTTTACTAAAGAGCCAATATACAGGGCAGGTCATCTTCTGAGATAAGTCCTTATGGTGTGCTGTGCTGGGTTCCGTGTTGAGGTTTACTTTGCCCACTTTCTGATGATGACATCTATCCAGCAGAAGCCGTCGCTGAACAAATGTTAATCTGATGGAGAAACAGTAGGAAGAACTCAATACCATTATTTTCTGGTAGTGGAATTTATGCCAACTGCGGCTGTTGCTTTTTCTTCTTTTTTTTCTAACTGCACACTTCTGTGACTGTAAGCTATGAAGTGTCTTGAGCAACTGTGTTGAGCTCATTAACCTCATTAGTGGGCAGCTGCTAGCTGTCACATGGAGCTTTCACCACATGAATGGATGGACCAATTTGTGATGAACACAGAAGCTCCAGTAAAAAAAGGCTGAGGGTAGTCACAGACTGATCGAATACAGATTTGTTGGCTGGAGTCCGTACCCCTCCACGGGGGTGAAGAGGAGGCAACATGGGGTCAGGAAGACAGGTCCGACTCTTGCTATGGAAGAACTGGACCATCCGCCGGAGGCAGAGGGTAATAATTCTCATGCATCTCTTTTGTAGCAGAGTTGAGTTTAGAAAGGTTGTCCGGTTTGTCAGCTTTTATTTTTGTGCAGAAAGCTGCAGTCTCATCTTTGTCAATCTGAGAGATACTGTTTCTGCTCATTTTATTATTTTTTCTATTGGGAAAGCCTTTTGTTCCACCCCTTTGTATAACATTATCTGTTATAAAGATATTACGTTGTGTGTGAGGTTCAGATCGCAGCCTCATTATGAGGCTGTTTCACGTTACCAGCAGGCAAATTGAAATCATATGAGGAGGTTTATCATGAGTAAGATGAATGTGTGAAGGGTTTATTGCCCTTTTGCCAAAAGTTTGTTTTAAGGCTAATTTGAGGCCAACTGAAAACAACCTCTCCAATGAGAACTCTCCAAAAAACTGTTTGTCTTTTTTTTCATAAACCAGACACGTTTCTTCATTGAGATCATGTGGCCTGTTATGCTGTTCATGGGACTGGTGTGGCTAAGAAGAGTAAATCCACTGTACCAACAGCATGAATGTGAGTGAGCAAGTGCTCACCAGTGCATATCATGAATAGCCTTCAATATATAATGGTGAGAAGCAGAAAAAATAATCTCTTCTTCCCCCCTCAGGTCACTTCCCCAACAAGGCTATGCCCTCAGCTGGTGTCCTCCCATGGATACAGGGAATATTCTGTAATGCCAACAACCCTTGTTTTCAATACCCCACCCGTGGTGAATCTCCTGGCTTGGTATCCAACTACAACAACTCCATGTGAGCATCACCCCTCAGCCAGCAGAATTTTAGTCCAAAAACATGATCGTTACCACAAAAGGCAATGAAAACCTTATGCTTCAAAGAATTGGTGTGTTGCAAGTTTGTCCCCTTTTCAAAATTCCTTCCCAGACTAGCACGACTCTATGTGGATGCAGAGGAACTTCTTCTCAGTGACCCGGAGTTTCTCCAGGTCGGTCGCCTCTGGAGGGAAATGAATGCCATGAGCAACTTTATGGACACACTGCGCACTCATCCTGAAAAGGTCTCAGGTCAGTGCTTCAGCCTTTCATCACAATCCTGCAGAAATGTCACCATCAAAAGTGGCAGACTTAAGGTCAGTTGTTCTGGGTGGCTCTTTCATTGGAACAGGTGTTTCAAGCTGCCACAAACCTTCATTAGATTCAGTTTCTGGCAGAGCATTACAGTCTGGTTCCAGGTACAAAAATAAGCACCATGTACTACTTTGTCTCTTTAACTAATGAAAATAAATTAGCTCTTTAAAAAAAGTCTTGATAAATTGGAAATAATGTTTGATGATGATGCCCCTATCATCCAACCAAAAAAGAGCATTCAGGCCTGAGTCACATTTTACATAATTTTCCAATAGCCTGCCAGTGTCTGGGAGAGTAAAACCATTATATTACAATAGCTTCAGACGAAACCTGCTAGCAAGGTGCCTAGTATTCCCACCAGCATCTGATTTCTTTGTGGGTTTTTTTTATTTTTAATCTATTTACTTATTTATCTATTTATTTATTTTTATATATAGTTAGCAATTCACATACCGCCCATCCACTATACACACTCTTTCCTTTTTCAGGGACAACTTGTAACTATATCTGGGTATACATGGACAGTGTATTGTAAATACAGCATGTTTCCCTTTTGGCAAAATAAACCTTTATGATGGGAGCAGAATGAAATGGGATGCATTCCAGCCTGTAAATGATTATGTCTGGCTGTTCTCTGTGTTGCCACTCTCATGGAGAAATATGTAGATGGACTAACAGAGCGAATGGAGATTAAAGTCCACATTCCTCTTAAGTTCCCATGAGCCCCTGAGAAAATGACCTGAATTATTTTGAGAACAAGGTTATGTAACTGATGAATTTGACTCATGACTGCTCGTATTCAACAAAAAAAGTATTTGCACAGCTACAGTCATGCTTTGTGATGTGCTGGATTCCATCCGTCTTTGGAAATATGAATTTCTCAAATTCATGCCCTCACTTGCTCTTACATTGTATTGTATTTATTTCCAGTGGATGCATCACCAAACAAGTTAATCAAGGACAAATCCTGGATAAAAGCCAAAGCTGCACTATGTGTTGCAAAGTAAACTTTATTCAAGTACAGACAGGCAGCTGGAAACAAAGAAACAATGTCCTTTTCTGTTAATGAAGCCCACTTGTTTCAGCTTGTTTGGAAGCACATTGATGGCAGTCCATATTTTCTCCACAAACCAGTTTTTCCTCTGAGTCACTCAAAATCAACTTAGAATCAACAGCACATGGATTGAAAATAATGAAGGGAATACATTCTCTGTACTTTTCACACCATATGACTCTGTGTCTCTCTGCAGGACGAGGAGTGAAGGTGGAGACTATCCTGAAGGATGATGAGACTCTGACGTCATTCCTGCTGAGAGACATTCCTCTGACAGAGTCGGTGGTTTATCATCTAGTGAATGCCCAAATCAGGCCTGAACAGGTACATGAAAACGTCCATGCGTGCATGAAAACACATGAATAAAGCTACACCTTTAATCTTAATGCATCCAACAGAGCTGTTTGAGTAAGGAAAAAATCTCATATCAGTGAAATGAAAAGAATAGTATGCATCGTGTCAGTTTTAGAGATCATCAAACCAACTTTTACTTGCTGTCCACTTTTTTCAGTTCGCCTTTGGGGTCCCAGAGTTGCATTTGAAAGACATCGCCTGCAGCCTGAACCTGCTGGAGCGATTCCTAATTTTTCCCAGTCGCAGAGGACTGTACGCTGTCCGCAATGCCATGTGTATCCTGACCCCACAGCGGCTGCAGATCATCGAGGACAGATTTTACGCCAATGTTGACTTTTTCAAACTCTTTAAGCTGGTCAGTCCTAGATCCATTATTTTGAATTTAAAGGGGCGATACCATATGTATAACAGTATGAACTGATTGTTGAAATTATTCAATGGCTTTAAAGTTAATTCTAAAATAACAAATGGTGCTGCCAAGACTGGACAACCTCAACAAGAAAAACCAAAATACTTAGAATTACAGAAAATTAAAGCAAAAACTGTGAATGTAGACATCAGGGAACAGGGGCTATGGCAGAACATGAAGAATATGGTAGACACATAGTGACAACTGTTAAGGCATCTAACAAGGAGTGGAGAAACTGGCAAACTTAAGTAGAGAGGAGGGTGATTAAAGAGTGGAGACAGCTGAGGACAAAGAACACAGGGGAAGGAAGTAAAGATGGTGACCAAACTGGAGAGACAGCGAAGAAACTGAGTGAGTCAAGAGAGACTAGAAACAAGGGAAAATAAACTACAAACATATATATATATATATATATATATACACAGTAAAACCAAAACAACAGGAAAACTACAAACTGGCAGGATAAAAAAAAAACAGTCAACGAACAGGGCTCATAACATGCTTCTCCACAATTGAAACTCCATTTTGTCTTCACTTAATTTGGTGAACTCAACATTTACACCCTTCATAGTGCTCAGAGTAAAAAGGATTAAAGCAAATTCTGCAGTTATCCTGGTGGTTTCTGAAAAAGAATGTACAAAATAGTTTTTAGCTCTTCCCTTGTTTATGAGCACATTCATAAAGATCCTCAATGAAGTCAGGGAGATTTGAATGAAGTGCTGGTTGAATGGCTCAAAGTCAAGTTGGCATGGGATGGTGTTAGATTTGACATGTAAAATAGTATGCACTGCTATTAAGAGTATAGTTTTTGGCCGTGCTGCATGATTTAGTAATACATTTTTCAAACTTACACAAGTCTGTTATCTATCTGTCAGTTGTAAAAAAAAAAAGAAGAAAAAAATAGACAAGACATGAAGTAGCTTGCTCTACTTCTGCCTTCCAGTTTGCTTAATTGTAGAATTCAGACGTGTGGTCTTGTAATGCTGTAATGCTTGTAATGCAATGATCTCATAACCTCCAAGAGATTTATTTTCAGAAGCAGTTGTTTCTATCAGAAGGACATTTCCTAACTAATTGGAGTTGAACAATGAGAAAGACAGCTCAAAAGTAACACTGAATTCTGTAGCTTTTCAAGACAGGAACTTTGTTGTATGGAGTCCAACAGGTGCATCTCAGAGTCACCTGTTGGGTGACTCAGTTAGCATGTTAGATGTTTTATTAGAAAAAGACTAAACAAACATGACTCGTTGGAAGGGGATGGCAGGGCAATCAACAGAGCAAATCAGATTACTTCTGGATTGTGTCCTTCAGGAAGAATAGACAGGATCTTTCATATCAAATGCGTCTGATACTGAAAACCCTCACTTGACTTCGTGTTATAACCTGGACATACGGATGATGGGAGAAAGGAAAGGCTGCTAAATAAATTCTAAACATCTTTATCCAGTTTGTGATTATGAGAGTAACACAATTTATTCATAAACAATGTTTTAAAAAGTAGGTTTTTATTTCTTTTGACCTACTGGTTGCATCTTTACGATTCATTGATTCCATTCATTGTATCTACACACTCTACATTCAGAGTTTTAACTCTTTAAAATCGCATCCAAATGTAGATTCGCAGGCTCTTGCCCACCTTTCCTGTAACACATTTAAAGCCTGTTGAGATGTCAAGTAAACAGCTGTTTGCACTTTTGTTAGGGGCCATGACAAAGGGTGAAGCAGATGTTTTTCATGAAAAATTAAACTCCATGTAAAAAAAAAAAAACTTGCATTCAAAAACACAAAATGTGACCTTATCATTACATTGTTAAATTGTTTAAGCTTCTTAACACTGGACAAAGGTAATTAGTGTCAGTAAAGGAAATTATTCATGTACAAAGGGCTAAATTAGGAATGTACTACAGCTCAAGGAGGCTAAGGTAATGTCAGTAATCTACAAGCAGCAGCCGAGTGGACTGTGCTGTCGTCTTTCTATTATAAGCATTGTATAGAGACTGCTGTGTACCAGCTGAGAGTAAAATAGACGTGCAAATAGACAGTATTATGAACTGCCTTCGGGATCATCTTCATCCAGCCATAATCCTATGAAACCGGGCCACAAGGGGTTCCATTTACACTCAGGCTGTGCTCAGGCTTACTGCCATATTATCTGTATACTGGGTCTTTGGGTGACTTCTCATAGGGCCGGAGACAGTAATCAGAAAGGACAGAACAAGTCCTCAACAAACGCAGATAGGCAGACATACTGAACAGAAAGGATGTTTCTGGTGGCAGCTCAGTGTCTTGTCTTGAACCTGCTTCCTGAACCTCTAGCCCATTGTCTTAAGAGCTTTCTAGAAGCACTTTGAGAAAGCCAGCAGATGTAAGGGTGAAAAAAAGAGAAAGCACTGACAGACAATAGAGCAGTTTTCCACATGTATTTCCCTCTGTAGAGTGTTTCCTTAATAATACATTTGATACCCTTATTCGCTTATAGGTTTACAAAATGTGTTTGTAACAGCTCTGTTTCAGTATAATATTGTATATACATATATAAAAACCAAGAACTAATTTACTGCATGTTTCTACTTTTTGTTAGCTTCCTCGTGTTTTGGATAATTACTCTGATGGGATTGACATTCACTTCTGGGTCCGGGTTGTTTCCGCCACTTCGGACAAACTGGCAGAGGTAGGAGCCAACTCCAGTAGCTCCCATTCAAAAGTTCACCGCTTCCTATTTTTAGCTGTCAGGAAACAGTTGCTTCCTCTAGCCTGAGTTAAAAAAAAATATATATTCTGAACAAACAGATTGTGGGGGGATGTCTTTTAGTTGCGTTTTGGGGAGGCTCAATTCAGAGTGATGGAACTCAGACAACTCATCATTGCAGGACTATCCCAAAGGAAAGAAAACATGTACAAGAGCATGCAAGGTATCCAACCAAGGAATATTGTAATCTTGCGGCTGCTGACTCAATGATGTTTTTTTTTTTTTTCAGATACAGATCTTAAGTCTGTATATTTTAAACCTCACGGCTACTACATTTTCATAACACAGGTGCTTTATTAAGTCAGTAATAGCTTAGTCACGACTAGTTTAAATGGAGGGAGTCTGTACATATCAAGATCTAAAACAATTATGTTTGAAAGAGACATTTCCCTTATGGCCTGCCTCCACTTTTAATATATATGTATGGAATTATTGTTATTTTTGTTATGAACATTACCATGAGACATTAATTATGGCTGACATCCAGACATCCTGCTGGCGAGACGGTTGTCTCTGTCCAAACTCTAGATTCAAAATAATTCTGTCCTTCCTTTTCTCATGCATCATAAAAGGAAGATGCCCAAACATTCTCAAGAGATTAGGGGTTTATAAGAATGTAATGTGGACAATTTAACTTGGCTAAATATGACACGCATGATGCTTATGCAGGAAATTATATTGTATTGTTCTGTCGATGCTATAATAGGAAACAAATATTAATTGTTCACTGTTTGTTCCAATATGTACACATTTAATGTCACATGTCTAATTAATTTTTTGCCTGTTTTTGATGAGGTGTTCTAACCCTTGTCTGACATGCATGTACAAACTGAAGTTTTCAACCTCAGTCTAACAGTTTAACAAATTAATGTTAACTTCACTTTCTTACATTATGTATCAGATATAATTGTAGCTGATATAGTCACTGAGCAACTTAATTATACTTATAAAACAAAAGCTCTATTGAAATACAATGCCAGCAACACACAGAAGGAAAACAGTGTAGAAAAATATACATCTTTATTTTTGTCAGCTATTTATAATCTTTGTCAGTTATATCAGCTTCTTTTATCAATCTAATCAACTGGACAATTATGCTCTTAAACTAACAAGGTAAATCAATATCTCGTTGTTGAATACGAACCCCTTTCAATTCTCATTTAGATGTTTGAAACATAGTGCCGTTCATAAATTTTGTCCAAAGCGGCTGAATTGTTGACTGTGCTTCTTAAATGAGTACTTCTGTGTAGGGTTTATGTGTGGATTCCTTTTTGAGTACTTTTTGTGGTGTAACAATGGAGTGTGTTGAGTGACTGGGTTTTTCATATGGGTATCCTGATCGTGCTGACATCATGGTTTCTAATAAAGTAGTATTGGATGGCTTAAATGTCTCAACAGTCCTTTCTGTACCTATTCATGTATAAACTGAGGTTTTCCCCAAACCAAGTTAATCTTCTCACAGAATTATGTATTATAGTTTTTTTCTCATTTTGAATTGGAAGAAATGTTATTTTAAACTGATCTGTGACTTTGTAATGACATTTTGCACTGTGGTGAGACAGAAACTGTTGTAGCCTGGTAAGACTGAGCCTTTGTTGGATACTTCTTTTACACCCCACCATTTAACCTTCACTGATTACTAATTATTTTGATGAATGTAGAATTTTCCGGCGGCACGGTGGTTTGGTGGTTAGCACTGTCGCCTCCCAGCAAGAAGGTTCTGGGTTCAAGTCCCGGGGGACCCAGGACCTTTCTGGGTGGAGTTTGCATGTTTTCCCTGTGTCTGCGTGGGTTCTCTCCGGGTTCTCCGGCTTCCTCACACAGTCCAAAAACCTGCATGTTAGGTTGATTGGACATTCCAAATTGCCCTTAGGAGTGACTGTGAGTGTGAGTGGTTGTTTGTCCTTGTATGTCTTGTGTGTGGCCCTGCGATGGACTGACGGACTGTCCAGGGTGTACCCTGCCTCTCCCCGCGATAATGGATGGATGGATTTTCCAGAATGTTGTTATATAGTCTCTGTTCTTTAACAACTTTTCTCCAGTGTGTCTCCGTCAATTGTGGACTCGTTTATAGTTTTAATACAGCAGTGTCTGCAGTGAAGACACTTAAATAAGTAACTTTGATGTGATGACTCTGGCAAATAAAGCAATAATTATGGATCATTGGTATATTACTTTTGTCTAATGTTATATATTTGCCTATGATTCAGGATTAAAACCATTCTAGTTCCTGAAACCTTCTTCTCCTCACTATACCTTTTCTGCTTTCTCTCCATCTTTTCACAGTTCTTCCATCGGAGCAGCTCCAGGGAGTTCCTCCAGGTTGTGAGTCCTCTGTTCCAAAACAATCTGTCCTTCAGACAGGTTATGGCTGCTGCCTCCAGTTTAGTATGTGGCTACACCGAGGGGGCCTTCTCCCGAGTCACCTCCTTTAATTGGTATGAGGACAATAACTACAAAGTCTTCCTGGGTATTGGCAGTGGCAGGGTTAAAGGCGACTACACATATGACAACAGCACCAGTGAGTTGAATGTTTGTTAGTAATTAAAGTAGATCCGAGCAAAGACAAACTCTCTCAGGAGTTTTGCCTCTTGTTTTTTTATCTTTAGGTATTGTGTGACTAATGTCCTGGTTTGTGTAGTCTGTTAGATTGTCATTTTGTCTACTTTTTTTTAAATAAAATATAGCATTTTTAACTGATTTTTCTAAATACATTCTGTTTTCTTGGTTATGTAATTATTCTTCTGAAGCCTCACTTGTTGTGCATCGTAATATCGATCAGTGCCCTAAAAATATTTCCGTGCAGCTCCTTTCTGCAATGATCTGATGAGTGAACTGGAGTCCAACCCAACCACTAGAATTGTGTGGAACTCTGTTAAACCAATGCTAATGGGGCGGATCCTCTACGCTCCAGACTCACCTGCTGTCAGGAAGATTATACGAAATGTAAGCATCACAAATCGATGGGTGGATGAATTCTTTATTTTTGTTTATTCATAGAAGCTGAAAGCAGTCTTGACTACAATTGTTAATTTACATCAGAAGTTGATTATTCTGTTTTCAAAGATAATGCAGCTTTTAGTATCACAAGTTGTTTTATCCTGTTTTCATTAGATATTAGCCTTATGTTTTATGTAACTTGTAAGTATGTTACAGGCATCAGATGCTCTTTTGGGGAAATGAGCTTCTGTTTCACAAGTTCATATGATAAATTGTCAATGAGTTATGCCATTAGTTGCAATATATGCCATTTGTTTTAGTGTTGTTCATTATCACTGTGGTGGCAGTTCTTCAGCAACATTAAGTCAAGGTATACATTTGCTGTTTATTCTGCTAGTTGTGCTTAGTTTGGTTAACTAATTTTTCAGTACAGACAGTTTGGATTTTACTCCACAAATCTTCAGTTGCTGCTTTCCTCGAGGCATTTTATTTTCATACCACTGTATACTTTGACATGGGAGTCAAACTTGATGCGTATTCAGTGAAACAGCCATCAACAGCATGCAAAAGCTTTCACATAGAGCTGAAGTTTCCCTTGGCTGGTTGGCATGGGACTCCAAATTTCCCCTTGGAATGAATATGAGTTTGTGTTGTTGTTCATTTCTGTGTGACCCTGTGATAGACTGGCGACCTGTCCGGGGTAATCCCAACCTCTGGCCAGTACAGCTTGGAATGGGTGGATGATTTACACGATATTGAGAATTGTGGTTAGCTCTAAAAACACCTCTGGACCCAAAATTGATGCTCTGTCTAAAAAAAATAATCGGAATCTGGTCTATTCCAAGCTCAAATCAGTTGCACACATGGAAGTGTCTTACCAAGGTAACATTTTGAAATATTTAACAGAAAAAAAGAGGGTAATAATTCTTGTTTTTAGTAATAATCGTTAACCCCAGCCAGTGAGGAAAACATTGAGCAAACCTGTCTGGTTTTCTGATTTGCAAATGATACCTAGCCTCCCTGGCTGCCACCTTATCCTGGTGGAGGGGTTTGAGTGTCCCAGTGATCCTAGGAGCTATGTTGTCCGGGGCTTCAAGCCCCTGGTAGGGTCACCCAAGGCAAACAGGTCCTAGGTGAGGGATCAAACGAAGCGCAGCCAAGAAGACCCTTATGATGACGAAGAAAATTGGATCCAATGTTCCCTCGCCCGGGCGCGGGTCACCGGGGCCCCCCCCTGGAGCCAGGCCCAGGGGCGGGGCACCATGGCGAGCGCCTGGTGGCCGGGCCTTCACCCATGGGGCCCGGCCGGGCCCAGCCCGAAAAGGCAACATGGGTCCCCTGTCTCATGGGCCCACCACCCATGAGACGGGTCATAGGGGTCGGGTGCAGTGTGCCCTGGGCGGCGGCCGGAGTCGGGGATCTTGGTGGACTGATCCCCGGCTGCGGAAGCTGGCTCTAGGGACGTGGAACGTCACCTCTCTGGCGGGGAAGGAGCCTGAGCTGGTGTGCGAGGCGGAGAGATTCCGGCTGGACATAGTCGGTCTCGCCTCGACACACAGCTCTGGCTCTGGAACCAGCCTTCTCGAGAGGGGTTGGACGCTCTGCTACTCTGGAGTTGCCCCCGGTGAGAGGCGCCGAGCAGGAGTGGGCATACTCATTGCCCCCCATCTCGGTGCCTGTACGTTGGGGTTTACCCCAGTGAGCGAGAGGGTAGCATCCCTTTTCCTTCGGGTGGGGGGACGGGTCCTAACTGTTGTTTGTGCCTATGCGCCTAACGGCAGTACAGAGTACCCACCCTTTTTGGAGTCCTTAGAGGGGGTACTGGAGGGTGCCCCCCCTGGGGACTCCCTCGTTTTGCTGGGGGACTTCAACGCTCACGTGGGCAACGACAGTGAGACCTGGAGGGGCGTGGTTGGGAGGAATGGCCCCCCCAGCTTGAACCCGAGCGGTGCTCTGTTTTTGGACTTCTGTGCTCGGCACGGATTGTCCATAACGAACACCATGTTCAGGCATAAGAGTGTCCATATGTGCACCTGGCACCAGGACACTCTAGGCCGCAGTTCAATGATCGACTTCGTTGTCGTTTCAGCTGATCTGCGGCCGCATGTTCTGGACACTCGGGTCAAGAGGGGGGCGGACCTTTCCACTGACCACTACCTGGTGGTGAGTTGGCTCCGATGGTGGGGGAGGATGCCGGTGAGACCCGGGAGGCCCAAACGTGTTGTAAGGGTCTGCTGGGAGCGCCTGGCGGAGTCCCCTGTTAGGCGGAGCTTTAACTCCCACCTCCGGGAGAGCTTCAAGCACGTTCCGAGGGAGGCGGGGGACATTGAGTCCGAGTGGGCCGTGTTCTGTGCCTCCATCGATGACACGGCCTCCCGGAGCTGCGGTCGCAGGGCTGTCGGTGCCTGTCGTGGCGGCAACCCTCGAACCCGCTGGTGGACACCGGCGGTGAGGGATGCCGTCAGGCTGGAGAAGGAGTCCTATCGGGCCTTTTTGGCCTGTGGGACTCCGGAGGCAGCCGATGGGTACCGGCAGTCCAAGCGACATGTGGCTCGGGTGGTCGCCGAGGCAAAAACTCGGGCGTGGGAGGAGTTTGGGGAGGCCATGGAAAAAGACTTCCGTACGGCCTCGAGGCGAATCTGGTCCACCATCCGGCGTCTCAGGGGGGGGGAAGCAGTGCCCCACCAACACTGTTTACAGTGAGGATGGGGTGCTGTTGACCTCAACTCGTGACGTTGTGGGTCGGTGGGCGGAGTACTTCGAGGACCTCCTCAATCCCACTGGCGTGTCCTCCTTTGGAGGGGCAGAGCCTGGGGATCCGGAGTTAGGATCTCTAATCTCCGGGGCTGAAGTCACCGAGGTAGTCAAAAAGCTCCGCGGTGGCAAGGCTCCGGGGGTGGATGAGATCTGCCCGGAGTTCCTTAAGGCTTTGGATGTTGTGGGGCTGTGTTGGCTAACGCGACTCTGCAACATCGCGTGGACATCAGGGGCAGTCTCGCTGGATTGGCAGACTGGGGTGGTGGTCCCCCTATTTAAAAAGGGGGACCGAGGGGTGTATTCCAACTACAGGGGGATCACACTCTTAAGCCTCCCTGGGAAGGTCTATTCAGCGGTTCTGGAGAGGAGGGTCCGTCGGATAGTCGAGCCTCGGATCGAGGAGGAACAGTGTGGTTTTCGTCCTGGCCGTGGAACGCTGGACCAGCTCTATGCCCTCAGCGGGGTCCTGGAGGGTGCATGGGAGTTCGCCCAACCAGTCCACATGTGTTTTGTGGACTTGGAGAAGGTGTTCGACCGTGTCCCTCGGGGTATCCTGTGGGGGGTGCTCCGGGAGTATGGGGTACCTGGCCCTTTGTTACGGGCTGTTCGGTCCCTGTACGACCGGAGTCAGAGTTTGGTTCGCATTGCCGGTAGTAAGTCGGATCCGTTTCCGGTGGGAGTTGGACTCCGCCAAGGTTGCCCTATGTCTCCGGTCCTGTTCATAACTTTTATGGACAGGATTTCTAGGTGCAGCCGAGGTGTTGAGGGTGTCAGTCTTGGTGGCCTTAGGATCGCATCTCTGCTTTTTGCAGATGATGTGGTCCTGTTGGCTCCATCAAGTCGGGACCTACAGCTCTCGCTGGAGCGGTTTGCAGCCGAGTCCGAAGCGGCTGGGATGAGGATCAGTGCCTCCAAGTCCGAGACCATGGTCTCACACCGGAAAAGGGTAGAGTGCCTTCTCCGGGTCGGAGCGGACGTCCTTCCCCAAGTGGAGGAGTTCAAGTATCTCGGGGTCTTGTTCGCGAACGGGGGTAGGGAGCGTGAGATCGATAGGCGGATCGGTGCGGCGTCAGCAGTAATGCGGGCGCTGTACCGGTCTGTCGTGATGAAGAGAGAGCTGAGCCTAAAAGCAAAGCTCTCAATTTATCGGTCGATCTACGTTCCCACCCTTGTCTATGGTCACGAACTTTGGGTAGTGACTGAAAGAATGAGATCGCGGATACAAGCGGCCGAAATGAGTTTCCTCCGCAGGGTGGCTGGGCTCTCCCTTAGAGATAGGGTGAGAAGCTCGGCCATCCGGGAGGGGCTCGGAGTAGAGCCGCTGCTCCTCCACGTGGAGAGGAGCCAGCTGAGGTGGCTCGGGCATCTGTTTAGGATGCCTCCTGGTCGCCTCCCTGGGGAGGTGTTCCGGGCTCGTCCCACCGGAAGAAGGCCCAGAGGAAGACCCAGGACCCGCTGGAGGGACTATGTGTCCCGGCTGGCCTGGGAACGCCTCGGGATCCCCCCGGAGGAGCTGGCTGAAGTGGCCGGGGAGAGGGAAGTCTGGGTTTCCCTGCTCCGGCTGCTGCCCCCGCGACCCGACCCCGGATAAGCGGTGGATAATGGATGGATGGATGGACCTAGCGAACTTACATTTTATGAATTCTCCAGAGAAAGTCCTATCATCTCAAAGGAGTATTTGAGAAAGCAAGAGATTGTAAGAAATTTAGCTAGACAGAAAAGTATTTCCACAAAATCCCCTCAAATATTGAAAAATGTAAATGTTTAAATATAAAATTAATCTTATATAAAGAATGCAATATCAGAGATGGCCACCTTTGATCCTTTGAAACTCCCAACAACATCCATATAATTGTTTTTCTTATAGGCAAGTAAATCTGATGCAGCAAACAACGAATTTCCTCCCTGAAAAGGGATTAGCTTTTCCTGTGTCGTGTCAAGTTCTTTGTGTCTAGATGTAAATAGGTGTTGGTCATAACTCTCAGGAGGGCAGCTGTCATGGATGGGTTGGTCGCAATGGAAAAACACAAGCTGATCGGCTGAGGTGACGGCTACAGTCCACTGGCACTGTGGCTTTTTCACTGTTATGCCAGCAGTAGCTCTCTGTTCTTAAATGCGTGTGATCACACCCTGGTGTTTTCCTCCTCCCTGACCTTTAATGACCTCTTTGTTTTCCGCTTCCCTCAGATGGGCCTAAATTGTACTAAGAACGTAATGACCTCAAGGTCGGTCTATACACATAACAAGACCAGAAACATTTTTACTATAGTCTTATGTTGTCATTCTCGCATTTCACTTCCTGTTGAATATTGTTTTTTTTATGTTTGTTGTGTTTCCTTTGAATGCTTTTGTATATAATGAGCTATTAGAGCTAATTTTTTATTTTCTGGCATCCGTATGCTTTGCACATTGCTTTGGTATTTTCCACAAAATCCTGCAGAAAAAGGACCAATTAAACAATGACGTGCAAATTCCTGTAAAAAAATAAACTGAGATCACACTTTAGTGCAGTGCGGACATTATTACTTTTCTGTAGTGTATCATGTTTGGACACAGTTATACATCTAAGGTCACAACTTTTACATTTTAGCTCCTGTCTCTCAAAAAAATCACTAAAAGAAATCCAGTTCCCCTCTTGTCTCTTCCATGATGTTTTGAACCAAGGAGGCTGTCCCTTGTGGGAACCTCACTGGGATTCACTGGGCCAGCTGAATGCATTCAGCCAGTTGTCACCAACGGCCTCTATTGTCACCCTGGATCCATTATCTCCATTGTCACCCAAAATCAGACACACACAAGAGGAAGGCGTTTAATTGGGTGTACTCTTGAGTGCTTTTATCCCCCACTGCACATGGCTGAATGCTGAAGCCAGCTTTGAGTATGCGCCTCACAAAGCACTGTACACATCCATGGGCTGAACGATAAGCGTGCAGTAAATATTTGAAGACTTGGCAGTGACTGCATTTGTTGCCGGTTATCTGTAAAGGCCCGCGGGAATTCTTTGGGTGAGAATGTGTGTGTTGTCTTTGCAAAGCCTGCTTTCACAGAGTTTGATGTGGGAATGGTATGTAGCAGGAGATTAGGAGATCTGTCACTGTGTAAGTATGTGTGTGTGTGTGCGTGCGTGCGTGTGTGTGTGTGTGTGTGTGTGTGTGTGTGTGTGTGTGTGTGTGTGTGTGTGTGTGTGTGTGTTTGTGTGTGTTTGTGTGTGTGTGATTGGGAGTTTAGGACATATGCACAAACATTCTCATGTGTTTTTTCCGATGTTTGAAAATGCAGCTAACTGTGAAATTGTTCATATTTGTGTTTTTCTGTAAATTTTCACCCACACTTACATGGGCCTCTCCACTACAGGCAAACACTACATTTGAGGAGCTGGAGAGGCTGAGGACAATGGGGAAGGCCTGGGAAGAGGTAGCTCCTCAAATCTGGGACTTTTTCCAAGATGGAGTCCAAGTCAAGATGATCCGGGTACGATAACAGAAGAAAAAAGAAGAAAAAACATTACTATCTGTCTGACATAAGATGCTTTTGCCATTTAGCTGACACCCACTGCCAAAACGTTGTTTCTTTAAATAAGTTGATAAATGATCTTGTTATTTTACCCTGAGCTTTTTCTTGACTATTTTTGCTGAGGCCCTTGGAATTTCCTGCTTGAATACAAAAGCTTATCTTACCATAATATACCATCTCTTTTCCTTTTCCCTTTATGCTTTTTTCAACTTCTATGTAAGCTTTGTTTGTTATCCAATTCTTATCCAACACTGTTTATGCTACCATGGTTTTTGGACAAAATATTGTTGAATTAAGAAGTTTTTTGCACTTCATTCATATAAATGAAAAGGAAAATAATGACCAATAATCTATTTATATTTCTTTCAGGACACTATTCAGAATCCATCTGTTATGGATTTCATTGACAGGCGTCTGGAAGATGTGTCATTCTCCTCTAAACACATCCTCAACTTCCTGCACAATGGCCCACCAGATGAACGTCCATACAATACTCCAAATTTTGATTGGCGAAACATATTCAACCTCACTGACAGGGTCATTCGGATGCTCAATCAATATGGAGATGTGAGTACACCTAACTTAGGGACAGCATTCATCTTTAATTTCCTTTCTCTTGTAGCCGCCAATAATGGTTTGTTAAAGATCGACAGACATAAAAAAGATAATAATGATCTTTCCTTTGCTGGTAACTAGCAATACAGCACAATAGATTTTTGAAAAATGATTTAACGCTCAATGTTTCAAAGGCAAAATCGCTGAAATACAAAGGTTTGCACAAGTGTTTTTGTGTTTGCTTTATGCTCGCCTTTAATCATTGGAACAACAAATCTTTCAGATTCCTCACCATCACCACGGTTGTGGTAAAACAACAAGACACAATTAGTTGTTTTTCAATCTTTCAAAGGAATATTACATCTTCGTGTCACTTGGGGTAATGTTTATCTTCAGAGTTTTTGATCAAGGTAACCAAGTAGGATGGGACTAGAGATTTGCCGATAAATATATCCAGTGTCAGGGTCATTTTTAAAAACTTTGGAACTTTGACAGTGAAAAAGGGGAATGTTTTGCCACTCCTGTCTCCTTGAAAATGATATATTCCAGGGCAAGCTTATTCATAGGAATAAGCCATTTAAGCAAATCTCTTTTCACTTGTAGATTTCAATAGATTTCCAAGCGCTTTGCACTCAGTGCCACTCCTGACGTGATTAGAGGATTTGAATAAACTGTTCTTTAGCTGTGTAATTTGCCCCCTCTGTCCAGAGACGTGTAGGTCTACCCAGGTGGTTATGTGCCAAAGTCGGCTGTCTTCTATCTTTTGTTCAGTGGTGATTGAGTGGAGGTGTAAGAAATAACAAAAAACATCACACACCATCTCTTGTGAGGGTCCTCCACATTTGTGTGGGCCAGTGTATTTGAAACAAAGTTAAAAGCACCCAGTTCCCTGCAGAGGATAATCAAGATGAGAGGCTTAATGCCTGGGGGGGGGGGGGGGGGGGGGGGAGGGGGAGGGGGTTTTTTTTTTTTTTTTTTTCTTGAGTCCCAACCGAGCGAAAAAAAAAAAAG